TATACCGGTGCATGTACGATTCACTATAATCTACTTAAGTAGCTTACAAGGTATGACACAGTAACATATATGCCCTATTACGAACTTCAACCATGTTCTTAAATTGGGCCGTTCTAAGCATATTTACCGTCGATATCCTTCTACCATTTTTTCATCTATGTAGTATACCGAGTTCTTTGAATTGACGTTTTCGTTTGTCAGATGTATTGCCCTGTTATTAAGATCTTTCATAGTGTACCTGTGCAACAAACAAATAAACATGTGAAAAAAGAAAGAAAGAACGACACCGTGATCGCCTACGGACCTCGTGCATCAGGCCTTAATGGCTGTCTCCCTCTCTCTTGGCACTCTGCAGGGATAAAGTACTTGGTCTGGCAGTGAAATATCTTACCTAGACCAAAACCTAGTATATAAAAGCAAGATACCTGGTACATGTACATGCATTCCCATCAAATACGAATATGCAAATTTTAATAAACAAACCTATCCGCCATGTCTTTTTGTTAAGTTTAAACTTGACACAAAAGGGTGTAAATAGCAAAAAAAAAAAAAAGGATAAATACACTCACTTTTCAACCGATATCCTTACAATGCCCTCCGGGTTGACATATATTCGAAGAGGGTTAATACTGGTGACTTCGACGTACACCCTTAAATCAATCTTGGATCCGTTGACTAAGAGTGGATTGGATATATACCTGGCGAGAATTACGTTAGAGTTAAATATATATTACAGGAACAAATATACTGGCGATTTCCATATTTTCTATATATTTAACAGTATTCATTATACATTAAAATATAGGTATGAGGCTACTTAAGATGGCTCATGAAATGCACAAATACTAATTCCATAAGATAGGGTGTACGCTGACAAAATGTATTTGATTTTGATTCCATAAGCAATTAAGTATTCTACTTTTGACTAAAGCTTTATGTTATCAAGAATATAGGAACGGCCAGGTAACAGGATTAGAAGGAATCAGGTGTTATCAACGTTTGTTTTGGTTTCATTACGTAATATATATATATATATTAAAAGTAGAAGTGTTTTTCCTGTACGAGTATATATTATATATAATAAAAAGAAAAAAGAACATCAGCTATTTTGCTCCGACCGGTTTTATTCTTTCTTCAGGGGGTTTTGTTTATTTGTTACTGCAAGTTAATACATAAATTAAATTTGAGCTAGGGAGCCATCTAACATTTAAAAATGGCCTTACATTTAGAATTAAACACCCATTCACTTGCACTAGCTCAAATTTATTTTATGTATTAACTTACAGTGGATGCGGTGAGAACTATATAGGACAAACTGGAGACACTCTCCGACATAGAATGACCGTTCACAGACAACAAATAAGACAACCTAAATATCAGTGCACGTCTGTGAGTGGGCACATTAGGGAATGCTCTATGAACAAAAACAAGGACTTTACGGTATTCCCATTTTATAAATTCACTAGGGAAACAACCCAAACAGAAAGGGAAATGAAAGAAAATCTATTCATTAATAAGTATAAACCTACATTGAATAGATAATAGTATTGGTAAAAGCAACAATTACACACCCATTGTTACAGACGTCACATTTTAACCTTTATGACATCACCTAGTAACAAATAAACAAAACCCCCTGAAGAAAGAATGAAACCGGTCGGGCAAAATAGCTGATGTTCTTTTTTCTTTTTATTATATATCCCCCCTGGCTTCCAACCCGAGCGTTTTCACTCTTAAATTAACACACCTAATGGTAGCTGTAGGCCCAATCATGGGTTAATATTCGCAAGCAACGGTACGAGATAGAAAGAGTACATTTCTTCCCAATATATTAAATCACTACAACCAACATAACGTCAAATCACAAGCATCAAGAGGTACTTTCTATTCATTTTCAACAATGAGCAAAACAACCATTATTGCATACATTTTTAATTACTTGTTTAAATGAAGTTGAACCTTACTTTTGAACAACGATGAGTTCCTTTTTGGGAACCTGTTTCCAGTCCTGTACTACTGTAATCCCATTTCCCCCAAATGCGCATGGCTATATAAAGAAAAGAAATAATCCAATTAAAACAAACCATTATCTTAAAGTTAAAGCGTCTTTTTCGCCAAAAAAAAACAAAACATTTGAATGAATCAACACCGCAGTATTCTCGGGGTTTTCCCCAGAACAGCCACTCCCTAAACGTGTTCCACGTTTACCGGACGGACGGACGTCTTGCTAACTTTGCAAAGCAGCAATTATC